TAAATATATATATATATATATATATATATATACACACACATATATATATGCTTAAAAAATTCAGACCATACATTCTCCTCTTAAGGTAAGCATGCTAGTTACTCTTTGGACCTATCACTAACTATTGAAATCCCATTTTTTCCATCCCTCTCCTTGCTCTTCTATGTATAAGCATGCTCAAGCCTCTCCCATATTGAAAAACAAAACAGTAACAGTGACCCTTCCTTCAAGGACAAGGTTAGGGATGGAATTAATGCTCACCTTTCACAGAATGTTCTGAAACAGACACAAAGGTGGCAGTTCATATAATTTGGAGGAAAAGTAAATTAATAGATGATGTTAAAACTGCTGGATAGACAAGTGGGAAAAAATAGTCGAATTTGTCTTTCACAATAGATCAAAATAAATTCTAGGGCCAGGGATTTGGCTCAGTGGTTCCGCTGCCTGCCTCGCAAGCTAAAGGGCCCAACTTCAATAAATAAATAAGTAAATTCTAACCAGATAAATATTTTTCAATGTAAAATATGAAGCTATAGAAGGTCTAGAAGAAAATACAGGATTTTTTTATTTTGCACAGGTATTTTATATAAGAAAATTATTGTTTATAATTTTGCAGTGGGTAGGGACTTTCTAAGGATAATCCAATACCCAGTATTCTAATATTTTTTAAAACATTGATAATTGGTCTGTATAATAGAAAAATATACAAAAAGAAAGGCAAATTAAAATACAGTGAAAAATAATTTTTCACCTACTAGATTAGCAAAAAAAAAAAAATTAAAACATCTTGTGTTAGAAATGGTGGTGAAGCCAAGCATGGTGGTGCACGCCTGTAATCCCAGCACTCGGGAGGCTGAGGCAGGAGGATCGCTGTGAGTTTGAGACCAGCCTGGGCTACATAGTTCCAGGTCAGACTCAACTACATAGTGAGACCCTGTCTCAGATAACAAAAAACAAAAAAAAGAAAAATGGTGAAAATTTGTGTTCTGATACATTGCTGGTAAAAATGGAAATAGGTGTGGCCTCTTTGAAGGGAAGGTTGACAAGAGCCATAAAAATTACATACAACTAAACTGCAACCCCACCACTAAGAAGGAATTCATCCTATTTATACTCTCACAAGCATAAAATTATGTGATTTTTCATTGAGACTTGTTTGTAATAGAAAGAGATTGGGAATAACGTTAATGCCTATTAACAGAAGACATGTTAAATAGATTGTTTTCACCATTATTTGGAATACTACGCTGCTATGTAAAATGTATCAGTTCTGTTTATCCTGCTATGGAATCATCTCTGGAATGTATAGTAAGTAAAAATACTAAAGCGTAGAATGACGTGTAACCAAGAAGAAGCAAAGGGAGGAGGAGTCGGAGGAGAAAAGGAAGAAGGAGAAAGGAGAGGAGGAGGGGGAAGCAGAGCCTGAGAAAGAGAGTGGGGAGGAGGAAAAAGGATTAAAAGAGGGGGAGGAAGGGGGCAGGGCGGAGATGGGCCTTGGCTTCAAGGGTTACCAGAGCCAGTGGAGCTCTCTATCCTAACTCCGCTTCCTTCTGATTTGTATGCTACCAGTTTCAGTGCCTGCGGGCTGACCTTTCCCATGTGGTAGAGAACACAGCCATGAACAAGCCTGAACTTAACATCTTCTTCAGCCACACCGAGGAGACTGGCCCTTATTTCCATTTCAGTTGGAAAACTCCCAAGGAGACAACTTGGCCCTATTCAGCTGACCTTTGGGCTCTGGTGCCTGCTGCCCCCGGACCTTGCACGAACTCCATGGTCCGTACTAAGGCCGTGACTTGTGTCAGAGGCACCATCTTCTCCCAGGACCCAGAGAGTTCTGGTGACGTGCACGCTCCCTGCAGCAGTGTGCCTAGAAAATATGGCTGCTAACAAATGAGCATCTCCAGAGGCGCTTCTACCACTATACATTTCACAATTCCATTTTTCCAGAATGGCGGAGCTGTACCTGTAGCTCCCCATGTATGTCAGTAGCACCTCCAAAGATGAACCCCAAGCACGCTCCAACAAGGTTGTAAGAGACCTAGATAGCTGCTGCAGGAGAGACAGACACACTCTCCTGGGGCCTGCCAACAGCCCTGCCCACCTGTCCAGGGAGAAGGACTTCACGTCCTAGTGAAGGCAGGAGACAATGGGAGTGGAAGCCTTGTCTTCCTGGAAGCAGGCGATTTGCACCTCTCGAAAGGAGCTGTAATACCTGAATCCTGAGATACGGATCTCGGGACCTGCCCTTCTGAGTCTGCTGGAAAGAAAGGTGACCAAAAACAGCCCTTCCTTGAAGACTGTGCCAAGCATAATCCTCTCTGTCTCCCAGCCAAAGTATATGAATGTGAGAGCTGTGTGTTGAGATTTAAGTTTCACCCTCTAAAAATAATGATCCCAGGGAGGACTCAGGCTCGGGTCAGCTGCCCACCCTCGGACCAAAGAACTCTGGAGAAGAGAAGGCAGTCTTGCTCTAGTTCATGTTTGGAGCCCACCAGACTGGAATGGGGGAATGTGTTAAATCAAAATAAAGTGGGTACTGTTATATTAAAGTGGGCATGATGGCACATACCTGTAATCCCAGCTACTTAGGAGGCTGAGGCAGGAGGATCTTTTGAGCCCAGCCTGGGGAACTTAGCAAGACCCTGTCTCAAAATGAAAGTTGAAAAAGAGCTGAGGATGTTCAGTGATAGGACACTTCCCTATTATGCATAAGGACTTCGGTTCAATCCTCAGTTCTGCAGTAAAAACATCTTTTGAAAAAATAAAATGGCAAGGGCTGGGGATGTAGCTTAGTGGCTCGGTGCCTAACTGGCAAGCAAGGTCCTAAGATCGCACCAGAAAATAAATAAAGTGGCAGTTCCTTCAATATCATGACTGGGGTCAGCTCTAGAGAATGCTGGTGTTGAATGATTGGTCAGTCCCATTTGTTCACTTCAGGCCTTCAGAGTTTTTTACTCTCCCACTCCTTAAATTCAGATGTTTTTCAAAGCTGTCTTCTCACACTGCTCCCTCTCATGTGACTGCTTTTTCTACAAATGCCCCACGATCCTCCCAGCCAAATCTATGGGCAGCCATCTTTTCCTGCATCCAAGTCTCCACTAGGATGGTCAAAAGAGAATGCAATATTTGTTTTAAATTAAAATGTGCTTATAGAAGCATATCTCTGGGAGAAAATACAAGGACCCAGTCAACGCAGCTGCCCTGATCTAGCCTTTATTCTCTTCCTTCCTGTGAATGGGAACCACCTGGCATGGAAGCACCCAGTAACAGAGCTCGGGAGTCATTCTTGAACTTGATCATGCACGTGAGGCCAAGCAAAGGACCTTTGTGAGATGCAAATTTGATTATGTTACCTTTCTCCTTAAGATCGCTCAGTGTCTCCATGGCACACAGGGTCGCTGGGGGGAGGGTGGCTACCTCCCAGCCTCCCGCTGTCGCTTCTCACCGCCTGCTCAATAAAGGGTCCTGTTCCTCCGAGGAGCCGCCTCTGTCTCGTGCCAGCTGTCCATAAAGTCAGCCAAGGTTACTATTTATTTTTATGTATTCCACATCCAAATCTTCTCGGATTTTCCGTCAGCTCTGCGTATTTGTACCTGATTCTGACTGCTGATCTGTTTTGAAGCCAGCAAGCATATGCTCTCAGGTAAAGAAAGCTAGTGCCACATTTTAACCTCTGCTTTATTTTGATGACAGAATCTGCGTATTGATGATTGTGTTGTTGTTTCATCTTTGTACCTTGAGGAACAGAATCTTCGTCCACCCATCTCAAGAAAGTCCCTCGGATCACAAGCGTACACAGCATCCCAGCCAGTGGGCCACCACTGTCATTCTCTCCTAGCCCTTGGGACTATGGGGAGCTGTTCACTTGTTTTGAACTCTCGTCTCGCTATCCCAGGATTGTGAATCCTTGGAAGGCAGTGTCCTTTCTGTTTATTAATATTATTTCTAGAGCTTAGCTGAAACATAACAGCTGCTCAGTAAAGTTTGCTGGCCGAAGGAAGAGATGGATAGATCAATATATGAAGAAATACTACTTGTTTTAATCCTATATACTAGCAGTAAAAAAACGGCACTTTTCCGGAAGGTGAGGCAGAGCAGAAAATGTTAGAGCTGTCACAAGGTGGCGCTAGAATCCCACATGGATTCCCTCTGCCAAAAAAAAAAAAAAAAAAAAAAAAAAAAAAAAAAAAAGTCCAAGACGCTTGACCTGGGCTGGTTTCTTGTAACAGACGCCTGGCTGAGCCACGCTAGCCAAGATGGTTTTGAAATGAAGACTGTGGAAGAAATAAATGCAGGCAGGTTACAGCATGATGTAAAGAGAGGAATGGTGGCTTTCAAGGAACTCCGGTGTAGATTCCCCCTCCACCTCTGGACACCATCCCATCCCTGCCTACAGGATCACACATCCAGACAACAGCACATTTCCACCTCCAGGTACCCTTGCCTTCTTACTTAACAAAATGCTCAGGCTCATCATACCCAGTCTTCAGCCTGCGGCAACAATATTTCCCCATGGAGTCCTCTCTCATTCCAGGAGAGATTATATCTGTCACAGATTTTATTACCATTTCCCTCTTTACCTCCCAAGAGGTCACTGAAACTTTTAGACCTTTTGAACTCTGGTTTTCTGTGTAGTCAGGTGATAAAGAGAAAAATCCTTTAAAATTTCAAATACATATCTAACTCCTGTGAGGGACCAGGAAATGTAACCAAGGAAACGAGAGCAAGAGTGTAACCATGGAAACCCATTTAAACCAGCTGGGCCGTTACCATCTAGAATTTGGTGGACTCTGGCTGCTGCAAGCAAGGACAGTTAGCCCTAGTTAATATGGTCAAGTGATGTCAATTGATAGTGTTTTACAGACATTTAAGTAACATCTGGGTGCTGATAATTTAAAATGTTAGAAAGAAAACCTTTCCATAGGACTTCTTTGCTAAGCCAATTTTAAAGGACCTTCTAAATATTTCTGCCCCGCCCTCTTACCACACCTCAGAAATCATCATTCACTCACTCATTCATTCAGCAAACACATGCCAATCACTTTGCTGTGCTGGGCATTCTACTGACCCCACCATATCTATGTCATGGCCAATGTGTTATCTTTCCAACCAGTTTTAATGCTGAGGCAAATCCTTGAAAAAAACGTTCATTTATCCAACAGCTTCTTTACAAAACTATGTTTACAAACCATGGGGGTTTTTTGTTTGTTTTTGTTTTTGTTTTTTGAGACAGGGTCTCACTGTGTAGTTGAGACTGACCTGGAGCTCACTATGTAGCCCAGGCTGGTCTTGAACTCACAGCGATCCTCCTGCCTCAGCCTCCCGAGTGCTGGGATTACAGGCATGCGCCACCACACCCAGCTTACAAACCATGTTCTTTACAGAGCTATACTCACTGGTTTATACTTCCAATGAGTGAGATATAAATGAGCTTTTTTGCTATTTTTTTTTTCTGGTACCAGGATTTAACTCAGGACTTTATGCTTGCAAAGCAGGTGGCGAAACCACTGATCTAAATCCCCAGCCCACTTTCTGCTACTTTTGAAGGAAACTTTCACCTTGTAAAAGGTGAAACAGTAGGGTTGTAAAATCAGATCCTTCAGTTTCTCCTTTCCTTCTCTCCCGTGTGCAGTACAGCCCTGACACCTTTCCTCCCCTGAGCACCTTCCTCTCAGCATGAAAGCAGGTATGAGTCAATCCTACTTTCTCTCCCCCACCTTCTTCTGGGATGGGACCCCAGCTTTCGGGCAAAATAAGTAAGTGCCCTGCCATGGGGCCACACCCCCAGCACCTACTGAATTTTTTCAAAGACCCCTCGATTCTACTTGCTACCCTCTCTCCTTTCCCACATAACTCTTAGAAGCAGTTCTTGTGAAGCTGGGGATGTGGCTCAGTGGCACAGGGTTTGCCTGTTGTGTGTGAGGCCCTGGGTTTAATCTCTAGCACGATAAAAGAGAAAACAAAATAAATAAGAATTTTTTGTGCTTTTCTTATCTCTCCTTTCCTTTGGCTGGGAACCCTCTGCTTTCCTGATTCTTTCTCTGTTCTCCTGGGGGACCTCATAATGACTAAAATTATGACCTTTTAAAATATATTTTTAAGTTTTTTTAGACAAATTCTCACTATGTAGCCCAGGCTAGCCTTAAACTCACTATATAGCCCAGGTAGACTTGAACTCACTCTGCAGCACAGGCAACCTCAAATTCCTGGTCCTCCTATCTCAGCCTCCTGAGTGCTAAGATTGCAGGCATGTGCTCAGTGATAAATGAGCTGTTAAAAGACCAGCCAGGCATGGTGGCACACGCCTGTAATCCCAGCACTCAGGATACTGAGGCAGGAGGATCGCTGTGAGTTTGAGATCAACCTGGGCTACACAGTGAGTTTGAGTTCAGTCTCAACTACATAGTGAGACCCTGTCTCAACCCCCCAAAATAAACAAACAAACAAATAAATAAAAGACCCATGTTCTCCTCTCTGCAGCAATGAATCTCTGGGCCACTTTCTCAAAAGTTTCACCTTCCTCAGCATGACTTTCTCCTGGTCCTCCACTCTCTGACTGCCTCTCCTGTCTCTTCTGTGTCCCTGGGGTCCTCAGCCTGCCTTTCTTAGGGATTGTCAGGCTCATGTCAGTAGCTTTAACTACCCCTCCCTACCAAGGGGATCCTGAAGCACAAGACACAAACGATGACTAACTGTCTTCACCAGGCTCACCTGGCTCCTCATCCTCCACATCTCGCGCTGCCATTTGTCCAGAGCCCAAGGTGGGAAACTGGAGATTCTACTCCAGGTTTTATCTCACTGATCCACCTCACCATATGCATCTTGTCCCACACCCTCCACTTTCTTAGTCCGGGCCCTCATCTTTACTCTCCTCAGACATTAAAATCACATCTTTGCCAATCTTAATGAGACCAGTGCAGTCTTTCAAAAACACAACCATTCCACTGCATAAAATTCCCAAAGATCCTCAAGGATAACATAATGAAAATCAATTCCTTTGCATAACAGGAAAGGTCCTTTGTGATCTGACTCCTGCTTCTTTCTGCAGCTCATCTCTTGTCTCTCCGCTACCCCTAGCCATGCCTTTCTAAAAGGCTCAGTGGTTCCAAACAGTTATCTCCCCAAACAATTATTACTGCGTAGCGCATTCCATCCTCCCTCCTAAGCGGCTCCGCAGTTCACCAAACTCCTCATGTATGTTGTTGACTTCCTCTCTGTTACCACGCCTAGCTCGCCTTGGGCTTTCTGCACACTCCCATTCAACACTTCTCTCACTGGGCTGGACTTGTCTGACTGGTGTATTTCCTTTCCTAAACTGACTACTTAAGAACAAGCACAAGTCATTTGTTGTGTTGTATTGTTTGTTCCTCTATCACCCAGCGAAATGTCTTGACAGCAGTAGACGTCTACTAAATATTGGATATTACTATTGTTATCAAGGGGATGGTGAAGAAATTGCCTTTGCAGCTAACAATTTCCATCAGCATCAGAAAGTGCATATCAAATGCTGGTGGCAACTGAGCAGAGACCAGACCACATAGCAGCTGAGAGCCAGAGCTAAGCCAATATACGCCCTACACGTGTGACACACACCTATGGGAGTGC